ACCTGTTAACCTTCGTTCTTATGTCATGTCTAACTAAAAGTACCGTCCTGTTTAACCTCCTACATGATGTCATGTCTGGTTTACATTATAATGTCATTTTAACATTGATTGTAATGTTGTGCATCTTTATTTATGTAAAGCCTAGTCCTTTTTCTCTTCCTGTCTAATCTCCAACCTGATGTCATGTGTAACTTCTGTTGTGATGTCCCTTTTGGCCTATCTTCTGATGTCCAATGTCCGTTTCCGTGTAGTGTCTAACTACCGTTTTCTTGTCACGTCCTTGTGTTAAGTTCAACCTTTTCTCGTGTCATTTTGTACATCTGTTCATGTCATTAAATTTTTTCTTGTGCCTAACCATCTTCTCATGTGATTGATACCAGGTGACATGCTCCCCTAAAATGTACCGAGATAATTTAATTTTATAAACTAATTATGCATGAAGTAAGAGATGGGGAAATGCAGTGATGTTCCAATCATACATTCGTGATTGAACTTTGTGTACTAACAGGCTATAATATGATGTTATGTCATTTCCAGTGCTCGTTTGGTGCAACCAATTTACACACTAAACGAAAATGTTGAGTGACTGTGTGGGCAGATGGTACTTCAAATTTCAATTCAAAACAGGCTCTCTTTGTAAATACAAAGGGCAAGGGTTAACCTTGCTGAAGACAAATCAACGACATTCACAATAATACAAACTGGCTTTAAAAATCTAACAGTCCCAAGTTATGCTATATTATAATTACAAACAAAAACTCAAGGGTAACAATCACGTATTTGTTTCCCATATTCTCTTCAACTGTTGCAATAAAAAGTATTTCAAGTATGAGAAAAGAAAATAGACTTTTTTCTTAGATGCTTTCAAATAAAGAATACACTGCAATACATTCTACCATACCATTTAATCATCTACAAACCACATGTAAAGGGAGACAATCGTACAAAGTAGTCAAACAACAATTTTACATGTAAAGGGAGCTAATCCCTTGCTGTTAACAATAAATAGTGGATTAAACTTGTTTAAGAGAACGATGACAATTGTAATGCAGATAATATACGTTAATGATTAACGTCAACTTCCATTCATATTTACAACACTTGCAGTACTCCAACAACCACCAAAATTGGAGAAATTTTAGTTTTAGTGTTATTTTCAGAATCAAAATGATCAAAAATGTTCTGAACCCACATCACTCAAACTCTCACCTCACCACATAAACAAGAGATCCCAGAAGGATCTTGGCGCCCACCATTGTTTGATCTTTATATGTTCTTCAAATGTTGGATCTTATCCCTTCTTTTCTCTGATTTTGCTCTTAGTGTTAAGACATTCAAACATTCCTTTGCAGAAATAGCAATAATTTTCACCTACCAAATCCCAAATGGCTACCTGGAAGACATTTTATTTCTTCTGATCAGCCAAAAAATCAAACGAGCACAAGGAAAGACCAAACGGAGCATACATGTGAAATTTGAGATATATCCATTCAGAACTTTTTAAGAGATGACAGTAACAATCGTTTCTAGGTAAAATCCAAGATGACTGCCTTCGGTCATTCTGTTTTTCCGATCAGTGCCAAACTCAATCAAGCACAACCAGGGACCTAATGGAACCTATACAAGAAATTTGAGAAAGATCTATAGAGTAGTTCTATAGAAATAGTGATAACAAACGTTCAAAGTCAAAATCCAAGATGGTCACTTGAGGGTCATTTTGTTTTCTTGTCATCAATTCCAAAATCATACAGGCACAACTAGGGATCAAGGAAAAAATACACATGAAATTTCAGAAAGATCTTTGCTGTTATTTTCAAGGAATAGCGATAATAAACTTTCCAAGTCAAAATCTAAGATATCCCTCTGTCGGCCATTTTGTTATTCTGATCAGTCCCAAAATCAAACTGTACAACTAGGGACTAAGGAGAACCTATATCTGAAATTTAAGAAAGATTCATCACATACTTTTCAAGAAATGGCAATAACAATATTTCAAAGTCAAAATACAAGATGGCCGCCTTTTGGCAATTTTGTTTTTCTGATCAGACCCTAATTCGAATGAGCACAACTAGGGACTATGGGGAACCTACATATGAAATTTAAGAAAGACCCATTAAAAACTTTTCAAGAAAAAGCAATTACACACTTTCAAAGTTAAAATACAAGATGGCCACCTGTCAGCCATTTCGTTTTTTGATCAGACCCAAAATCAAAATGGGCACAACTACAGACCAAGGGGGACCTACATATGAAATTTGAGAAAAATCCATCTCTTACTTTTTAGGAAATAGTGATAACAAACTTCATTGAAAAAATCCAAGATGGCCACTTTTCAGCCATTTTGTTTTTTCGATCAGGCCCAAAATCCAATGAGGCACATCTAGGGACCAAGAGAAAACTACATATGCAAATTGAGAAAGATCCATTCCGTACTTCTCAAGAAATAGCAAAAACAAAAATTGTTTATGGACAGACGGCAGAGGACAGATCACGGATGCAGAGTGATTTAAATAGCCCATCATCTGATAACGGTGGGCTCAAAAGAGAGATAGAAAGAAAGAAAGGAAGAATAAACAAACAAGTTAAAAAAAAATGTTTATTTTACAGAAAGCTGTATACTTTTAGAGCACTTAAACACATTCATTGAAATTTAAATACCAATTTTTTATCTTAAATATTCTCACATAATGAAATATGATCCATGAAAACGACTTGCATATGACAAATATCTACAAAAGTGCTGATGATAATGACATTCAGTCAATGAAGAAGGCAAAAGTATTATTAATAAAGTTCTAGTACAAGTTGTATATCATGTATCTTTCCGTAAATATAACTGTTTACAGTATATCATGAATCTTTTTGTTAATATAACAGTTTACAGTGTATCATTGATCATTTTGTTAATATAACAGTTTCTAGTGCTTAAAGTTTCATTCTGTTATTCCTTTTGCTTTATATATGTGAGTTTCTGGTATATTACATGTATATACCTGATTTCAGTATATCATGATTATTGACTTAGATATACTAGGTAGAATTACTGTATCTTTTGATAGGGATTGCTTTCATGATTCTTTCATACCATTAGAGAAAAAAGTTAAGATTCTAACATTTAGAAATTTACATAATGCACTGACATGGATTTCATTAGTTATAGAACATAAGACAGAATTAGCATTTAGTATTTATATAATCTGTGAAAACTCTAAAATGTTCTATTCACAAATACTTGAAGAACAAAACTGAGTTGGTCATATCACAGTTGTGACTTGAATATAAATTAACAACAAAAAATTACTTCATTAACTTGTGAAATTAATTTTTCTGCTTTGTAATCAAAGATACTTGTACATGTCTATTACAAGAATTCCCTGATTGCTATACATGTCAGCGATGACAGCTTAGAGATTTGTAGAGGACTGAAGACCCTTACTGATAAGAAAGGCCTCTTGTGTGGGGTCACGCCCAAGGAAGTTCCGCAGCATGTCAGCAGCATCCTGGATAACAGAAAATATAGGCACTATAAACCTTGTCTTGAAAAGCCCTACTTCCACGGTAAGTTATCTTACTATTACAAAATTATCAAAGTACAATACAATATTCTGTAAAACAAAAGATTTGTCCATTTATAGTAATTTCTTAATTGTTTTTTTAAAGCAAAATATCACAGTATTGTAGTTATTACTTAATCTCTTCAAAAACAAATGTATGAGTAGAACATCATATTTATTAATGTGATTCAGCAGTTTACTTCTCAGTGTGAAGTCATACTACAAGGAACTTTTACTTTTATACTACAAGTGTAAAAAATAATTAATAAAAAGAAAACAATGAATATATCAACAAATGAATACATATTTGTATTTTATCAAACAACAAGAGATTCCATAAAGATCTTAGTCTCCATCATTGTATGATCACTATTGTTTCCTGTCAGCTGAATTATTTCCCTTCTTTTCTCAAGATTTTAATCAACACCTCTATAACATATCAATAAGAGTGATCAATAAAAAAATGAAAAAAAATGAAAGGTTCGAACAAAATTAGCTTTTCTCTCAAAAAAAACAAACAAACGGAGAGACCACAGATGAAGGGCAATTTGAACAGCTCACCATCTGATGATGAATGGCTAAAAAATGACATGAAATATATGGTCCTTGTCAAGAGTTTAGTGATACATCTATAATGCACATCCTTAAATAAAAAGGTTCAAACAAAATTAGCTTTTCTCTCAAGAAAAAAAATCCATAAACTGAAGAAGTTAGTGATAAGTAAATGATGAATAAACAGTAGAGTAGGTATAGTTCTATAATGACTTACAATGGAGCCACCAGGGCGTAGAATATATTTCTTGTAGTCACCTCCAACCTTGGGGCTCATGATACCCTCCTTCCTGAACCGTGAGTAGAACATATCCATGCAGAAAACCTCGCTCCACTGAAACAGATGTATCACACAACATATGTTTACCAGATTTATTGTGATCGGGAAATTAATTTGTTAAAAAAAATAAATAAAAGTTTCGATATTTTAGGTATTATCATCTTTAATTTTTACATCTCCTGAGAAAGATCTAAGAATGTAATATCAGAAATTACCATTATGATAGAAATTTATATGCAGTGATGATAATTAGAAAACTTGTATTTAATTATAAACATCATCCTTAGAGATGATACATCTTAATTCTTTTATAAGTGACCAATCAGAGTGCTTTTTCTATTCACTGCATGGAAACCTGCCAATATCTTTATTCAGATACAAATGAAACAAAGATTGAATAATTGGTTGTTTTGTTAACTTTTTACTTTGTACCACCAATGATTTCATAAAAATTCACAAATGAAGCTGAATAGGGAGGTTTACCAATAATATTACTTGAATCAGACTTTTTATGAGAAATTGAAGGCCTTAGCTTATTGACATCATTAGAATAGAAGTTCTTGTAACACAACCAGTAGACGATTATAGTGACTACACGGTCACCTTCATCGGACAAATGAACAATGTGGAGCATACTTGTGCTGATGTAGTATGACATTACTAGTCTGAATAGAATATTCCACAATAGATGAGTACCACATATACTTACCTGTTACTCACTTTCATCTTTACCATGAAATATTCTATACTGAAATCTATGTTTCAATGCACTAGAACCACACCCACCATTTTGTCAAAACTGCATGTACAAGTATGTTTCATACCAAGTATCCATAGTACTGAGCGTCATATCCTCCTGCCAGATGACCAAATGAAGCAGGCATATTAGTTCCCACTGTCGACTCAATACCTAGAATTTCCTTAGAAAGACTGGCAAACAATGTAGCTGTATCAGCCTGTAAATATACGTCAAATGTATATTAAAAAAAAATGATGATGTCAGCATACTACACTTCAACAGAAGTAAGAAAAAGACATGAAACACTTGTGTGTTTCAAAAGGAGAATACAGAAAAAGAGATGTCATAATTTTTACAATGGATCACCATGGGAGTTTTTCTCAGGTGACCTAAGATGACATACAATATTTATTTGCTTCAATAGAAAAAAGACAATATTGTTGTTCAGTTCAAAGGTAGACAAGAAAGAGCAAAATGATTTTATAACACTTTTCTCACACTTCAATCACCTTGGTATGTTTATACACATCAAATATAAAGATTGTATCTACAAAAATTGTATTTGTCAAAATGAGATGAAATAACACCATGTCATACAAGATGCTTCATATTATCAGTGTAGGTTACGTATGTTCATCATCAATAAAAATTATCAGGATATGAACACAACTGAACTATTCAATATATAACAACAATGACAATAGTATTGTCATTTTCTCTATTTCTGTTCTGCTCTGTGTTATGCAAAACTGACTGAATCTCTCTGTTCCATTTATGTCCTGAAACAACGATATTTCAAAACTGCAATTGTTTGCAACTACATACAACTAACACACTGATAGCTACAAACTAAGATTAAAATACTGAAATTACTACATTTATAAAAGAAAATCTATTCTCTCGATTTTTGCTAGTCAATTGATTCATCACACAATTGTTTCACATTGTCAAGCTTACAATCACAGCGTATGACTGACCTCTGCCTGTGTATGAATAGTTTGATCAAAGGTGCCAAGCAAGATTTGGCGAAGGTTGAAAACTCCTGCATTCGCAATGCGACTTTGGAGGAGTTTGCCGAGCAGTTCCTCTGGAATGGCACTGTTATCTTTGTAGTGAGAGGACATCCGGGACAATGGCTCCTTCTCCCAACACCAGTTCTCCAACATCTGAGATGGAGCTTCCACAAAGTCACGTTCCACGTGGGTACCGCTGTCATATACCAAAGTCAATACTATCATAAAGAACACGATATCATTGTAAATCAGATTTTTTGTGTAAAATATACACATTTATTTACATGGAAATGCAGCTAAACCCAGATGTAGCAAAATTTGTCAAACTTAAAATGCATGTTATTTTGAAATATTTTTAATTTGGTTATAAATACACATCTGAAGGTAAATTTATACAAAGTCTATGATGTTTGTAGGACATATACAATCAAAAATATGATACTATGATGCACAAAAGCTAACCAAGTATTTCTGAAAGGTGGATGGTCAAACTAGCAGTATTGCTCAGTCCAATCTTCCTAACTTTTGGATATAATTTGACCAGCTTTCTCCTGATAATGAATCCAAGTCTCCTCTCCTCAGCATGCAGTGTTCAGACAACATGTATGTGATTTAATCCAATATTTTGTGTCAATGTCTACATATGCTATTATGATGCACAACATATTAAAGAAAGGAAAAAGGTTGATAGACAGGTAAACACTATAGCTAAGTTCAATGTTCCTGGGGCTTTAATATAATCTTTGACTGGCTTTCTCCTCATAAAAAATTCAAATCTCTCCTTAGCATTTGATCCAGTATTGTGTCAATGTCTGCTCTCTAATTCTATTTCTTACCTGAACATTGCAAAGTCTGCCTTGGCACAGATCTGATGCATGACGTGACCAAACTCATGAAAGTAAGTCTCTACCTGTAAGGCATACAAATGATACAGTAGTCATGATCACACGCCCACAATCACAGGAAATAGACACATTTTTACAGGAAACTTTACCCAACATAAAAAGAAATCTTCCTTACTAAGTACTGTAATTTCCTGTGCACAGTGATCAATATAATTTTCATGGGCAATCTGCCAGTACATCCTACATGTATTTATTTCAACAAATTATTAAAATGTCTCTGTTTTAGATAAGTAAGCATCTGATTTTGTTTGGCTGTAATTGCTCCATTCCGACTAAAGAAAAATAAATTTCAAGGAAACATCTATTACTCCATTGCATGCTTCAAATTACATACCGACAGAATTCTGCCATCCCCACAGAACAAAGATTTTAAAGAATTTCCTTAATATAACATATTGGGCCCACCTGGGCCCACCCCTCCCTGGGCCACCCTCCCTCATATCACATAGTGGGGTGGGTACCATCCTGCTCCAGACATGCTGTTTATACAAAATTAATTTCATTTCCCCAATGGATGTTCCAGATCAAATTGGAACAGAATCCTAGCATTCTTACAAAAGGATTGTAAGCAGTTCCTCCATATCCCTATATTGCCACATCTCTCTTGCCCCCAGGGAGACCAATTGTTTACATAGCATTGATTCTCCTTCAACCTACGATGCATCAGACCAAGTCAGGACAGAATCCATGCATTCATACAAAGATGTAGGAATTTAAACAATTTTCCGTAGTTTCCCTTTTGGGCCTTGAACAACCAATTAGACAAAACTGAGTCCTCTTCAGCACAGAACCGAATTAGGAAAGAATCCAGGCATTTCTACAGAAGGTGGATTTTAAAGTATTTACTTTCTTTCTCATTTAGGCTTTGCCCTTTCTACCCTGGAGAGCCCAGACCTACCATTTATACCATTTTCCTCTAGGATGCTTTAGACCAAATATGGATAGAATCCTGGCATTCCTACAGAAAAAGATTTTAAATGATTTGCTAAAGTTCCTCCTATTTGGTCCCACCCCTAAGGTTCCAGGGGATCAGACCCACCATTTATACAAAATTGAGGCCCTTTCCCCTAAACATTGCTTCTGACCATATGTGGTCAAAATCTGTTAAGTTGTTCACAACTAATAGCGATTTGCAGAAAACTGATGCATGGATGGATGGACAACAGATGCTGCAGCATGCCATAAGCCCTTCAGTCCAAGTGAGCAAAAAATGTTAAACATCATTTTTTCTGACAAACATCCGAATACCTTAGCATACCTCATCATGAGTTAGTAGAGAGGGTTTGTCTGCTGTGGGTTTGGTGAAGTTGGCCACCATTGCAGCTACAGACACCTGTCTCTCCCCATCGGACTGTACACATCCAGGCTATAGAAACAAGATTGTAGTCACTCCAAATAAAAATTATGTAAAAATGTTATCTAAAAGACATAACAGAAATCACAATAACAAAGGTACCTTAGATTCTTATATGTTACCAAACACACGCAGTTTAAAAAGACTTGTTTGGGATAGAATGTAGTAAGTACTGTAGTGGTACTGTACAATGTTACATGATCTGCAATGTACAGGGACAATAGGACTACTGGGCAAAATTTGTAATTCCATGTCTCATAGTTTATATAAATTTAGAAATTACTTATAAATAAATCAGGGATATGGTTTATTTATTTTCTAAATGAGTATGGTAAAGTGTATTTCCTAATTAACCATATATCTGAAGGTCAGACACATGTAGATCTGTAAGGTACAAAGTAAATATTTAAATACATTTGTAAGAGTGTTTTGTTTACAAAGTACCATAAATGGCCAGTATACGGTAGTATACAGAATTTAAATTAAGTCTTGTGTTATTTACATCACAGATCTAATTTTTGTTGCTCTGAGCACACTGGCCACTGTCTAAAATTTTAAATTATAACCAAAGAGACTAATAAACTCCGGGTCCAGGTGTATTCTGATATCTGTCAAATCAAAAATGATCTAAAAGCTTACATACCTGAAGTCCAAAACATGCTGCATGGCCATATTTCCCCTCTCTTGGGTAAAGATCCAGGTAAAAGTATCCCAACAGTTCTCTGGATTCATTACAGGTAACACTGTACTGTAATAACAAACAATGTATTCATTACAGGTAACACTGTACTGTAATAACAAACAATGTATTCATTACAGGTAACACTGTACTGTAATAACAAACAATGTATTCATTACAGGTAACGCTGTACTGTAATAACAAACAATGTATTCATTACAGGTAACACTGTACTGTAATAACAAACAATGTATTCATTACAGGTAACACTGTACTGTAATAACAAACAATGTATTATAATGTTATACAATTGTAACTTGTGTCCTACAGACCTTACATTTACCTGGAATTGTAAATGGTCACGCTGTACTATAAAAGATTATGATGTATTATAATGTTATACAATTGTAATGTGTGTCCTACAGACCTTATATTTACCTGGAATTGTAAATGGTCACGCTGTACTATAATAGATTATGATGTATTATAATGTTATACAATTGTAATGTGTGTCCTACAGACCTTACATTTGCCAGGAACTGTAACAGGTAACATTGTGCTATATTTTCAGTACATGGTCAATTTTTACTGACTTTTCATATCAGTTCACAATATGTACATCAGTCATAAATTACCATGAAATATCAATTGTGAAAAATGTATTTTTCAATGTAAAAACAGTAACCAAAACTTTTCATCCAGTGTTCTTCTTTTACTTTTAATTATGACATAATGTAAGGATGAATTACCATGGTAACATCTTCATGCCATGCTGGAGCACCATCCAACTTCTCAAACTTCAGGCTGAGGAGCTCCTGAAATATAAATACAGAATAATGCCATATAAAGAACAATGAAAAAAGCATACTAACCAGAAAACACCCTAACCTACTTACCAAGGATCTGTCACTAAATACTGACTAGAGAACATTTTAAATGACTTACAAACTTTGTTGTGGGTGCTATGATGAAGCCCTCAAAATGAACAGCGTACCTTTTTTCCTCATGAGTCAGGCATGTGACTCATATACAGGTATTTACAATTCTGAATCACAGCTACATATATATAAAGGCAACACAATTTTAGGCTACCATTATGGCTATTGTGTTACATGGAATAGTTCTATCCTACAACCACTGATATAGAAGAAATATTACATGTAGTCTTGTCAGATAAATTTGTAAGATGACATACCTGGTAAATGTCCAGTAATCCACTGGTAACAACTTGCATAGGGAAATATTCCTTGAGTTTGTTTTGATCCACGGCATATTTCTTCTCCTCTGACATTGTCATGTAGTACTTCAAGTCCCAGTAACGAATGGTATTGTCAAACTGGAACCCATACTTCTCACACTGTAACAAGAGAAATAAGTCATCATTAGTCTGTATTCCAGTATCTGTTTGACTAGCTGGATCAGGCTGGATTGTTTATAAAATGAGGATGTACTTCTGATCATATTTTGCTGATGGACCTTGACAAAGCCTTTAAAGGTTTCCTATCACAACTGCAGGTTTGTCCCTATTTATGACTGAAATAATAAATCTAAAATGATGAGAAACTGTGTTTTTCCTCATAGATAAATGGAGCCCTGTAACTCATGCATTTCACATTAAACAATGTATCAAGGGAGATAACTCTAAACATTGTCAAACTGGAACTTAGGCCCCATTGATGTAAGCTTTTGGAACTGTTGGACTGCTTGACCTGCAACAAAAATGCTATGTACAGACTGGAACTTTGGCTGGACTGTGGAATATTTGGCAAACACAGTTTGAGGGATCCAGCTGTACCATGAAACTACCTAATTGAATATCTTCAGTTTTCAGAATTTCAGCATAAAACTGGGTTGGTGCACACCTTTTTCCAGAAACATTATGCTATCAAGTACAAGTTAATAATTGACAATATTATATTTTTGGTTCATTTTTTTATGTTCAACAGGAAATTTCGAACCATTTGAGCTTTATATATATCAGTTCCTGGTACAGGTGAAACAATTCAGGGATGTCTGATTCATTTATACTATGTTAATGGTCTATAGCCAATGCCAGAATGACAGGCTTACTGTAATCTCAATATAACCAACCACATACAGAGAAATATTTTGAACACCTTTGAGATCAGCAAATGAAAACATAATAATTATATCACAAGTACAAACACCAGTAATCCTAATACTTGGAATGGATCTTTAAGTGTCACTTACAAACATTGAACCTTATACACATTATAGGAGATGTTTTCTAACAGATATAACAAATGTAGAAGGATAGACAAAAATTTACAGCTTTAAGTACACATGCAGAAATATGCTTCAGAAGCACATCAAGTCACTTTGAGTATGTTAAACATATAAGAGAATATTAATTACAAATATGAGACCTACATAATCTCAAACTTATTGAGAATACAGGTATTGCACAAATTAGGTCTGTATAAATGGTCCATTTGGTAAGAAAAAAGGACTCCAGCAATTGTTTGCTTTAATTTCATTTTTTTTTCAATGTGACAAACTACTTTCTCAAACAACAAAGTCTATTACACTTATGACATAACCAAAGTTAACGGCAGATATGACCAGACAACATCTGTTGGAAGGTTCAGCAGGATTTATTTATTTAACTAAAAATATCTACTTTTAACTATGATTGCTGTTTTGTAACTAGATTCTGTATTCCTTAAGGAATCCATTTCCAGAAGATTACCAAAATTGTAGAAGATTTTTTACCTCATGTTGGATCTCATTTTCTTCCCAATAATGACATAAGTGAGATTTATAAAAATTACTGTTTTCATTCCCACTTCTCTCCCATCAGTTTTAACAGCTGTAAATATTGATAAACAATGTCTACTATTTGTTCTTTAGCGTATCTGTTGATGATTATTCCTAGATGAGTATCTCATGGATTTCAGCCTAGGTAAATCTTGTTTAGATAGTAGATCTTTCACTTAAGGAACCATATTCCATTGATAGCATGCTTAACAAAAAAAAAAAAAAAAAAGTAAAAACACTGACATGTCTTTCACCCAGATTGTTAGTTAGCTAAATAACGAAAGCTAGGATGCTCACACCATTACTTAACTTACTTCTTCCTTCTTGTATTCCAAGAAAAGTTTCATTTCTTCTGCCTTAAGCTGCTGTAACTTGGAGGTCAGATCCTTGAGGAAAGATGCAACACTTTCAGGCTTCTTAGCCATCCTCATGTCAAGTACAAAGGCTGCATGGGTGGGATAGCCCAACAGCTGGGCTTTCTGTTAAAATGAACATATCATTTGTATAGGAGTTGAACTGACTATGTGTTGTTAAAACTCCAAACATTGCAAAAGACTTGATTAATTTTCAATTAAGTACAGATAGAAATATTAAGAAAAAATGTTATTCTTTGTTAAAGTTTGGAAGTACTAGTATTACTTATACAAGAAAGTCACTTGATGCAGCTTTGGTGTTGAAAGACTTACCTTATGTCTTAGACGCACAAGTTCTTCCAAAATTGGTCCATTTTCATTTTTGCATCTGAAAAGCATCAATATTTCAATGTTTGTTTAATTTGGCTGTGTTACTAGAGTACAGTGCAACATAGACTCTTTAATAGTCATTTAATACTATCTCAGTGTTTTACTAAAAATATTTCCGGTTTGTAAATGAATCTAAATTACGTAATGATGAAAAAAGAAAAAGTATTATTATCTTCTATGACAATCAATCATCCTGCATAAAAAAGATTGTATATACCTGGAATTAAAAGCTGTTTCCATCCTTTCTCTGGTGGCTGGGTTCCTTGCTTTTTTCATACAGGGAAAGTAATGAGGGTATTTTAATGTCACTTTAAGTTTTCCATCATCAGTCTGAAGTCAGCAATATATATCATGATGATTAGTGGAATAAGGGTATGACAAATCCTAGACAACTTTAATAATTACTTTTATACTGCACTATATATCAGCAAAACAGTTACCACAGTAGATGTTTTAGAAACCAGGCTAAACAGGTTACACAGACATTTCTGTATTATGTGAAATTTCAAATGCGGTAACCTTGATAATGTTTGATTTTGTTGTGCACATGCTCTCCATGTACAATTTGCATAAATTATTAACAAACAAAATGATAAATAAGTCTGATTACCAGTCAATAATATGTACTGGTATGTTATTGATTTATAAGAATTTGTTTTATCATGTATTTATTGTATGATAATCACTAACCCACTTCTATCAACTTGTGATTTAGGAGACCAAGATTTATATAAAATGCCAATCATATTTTGAAAGACATCCATCAAACAACACTAAAACACATACCTTTTCTAAACTCTTTATAAAGTCTTCTGTTAGACCAGCTAGAAGTGAGAATCACAAGAAAAAAATATTGAAATAAACTTTTATCTGGTATATCAAGAATACTACAATGTGAATGTATCTGTCCTAGAACCATAATATGGATAAGAATTGAAAATGTGTTTAAAACTGCAGGTATAGCAACTCCCCTTCCCTTATTTTTCTTGCTTGCAAATATACATATCCAAAATTCTTCTCATCACTTCAGAAAAAAATTGAACTTACAAAGCAAAATTTTATGTTTTGTGTTATATTTCAAGTTTGAAATAAGCATTGTTTGAATGAAAGATATTGCTACAATTATTTCTTAAACACTTTATCGTCTAACTTAATATGTCCACGAAAGTCTCACCATTATGGGGCACTCTTTCTTTGGCCATTCATTCAATCTACTAGGATCATCATCACACTAACCAATTCACACCATTGATACTAATTGGCAGAATTATGTCTTGCCTCCAAATTTGTCAATAATCTTTATTTGTGGCCTACCTAACAAACCTTACATTGTTTAACATATGTGAGGTTGTGCTTGACATTTCAAGACTTTGTTGATAAAATCAACTCATTAAAGTGTTGTTTATCAATATGCTACATCTAAGCATTTCATCAGCAATCAATGTAAACTAATCCAACACTTTAATATCACAAGACTTGCAGGTATTGATTAATAAAAACGCAAAGAAATGAATCATTTAGTATAATAAAGTATCATATTCATTTCCTATTTGAAATTGTTTTTACCTAAATCTTCTTCAGCAAATTCCAAAACAGTGTTTTCCTCATTGCAATTTTTGCTGAAGTCTATAGAAAGTTCACTCATTCTCTTTTTGATGCTTTTAATTTCATCCTGAGTTTCTTTAGGTAAGTGAAGTCCTGAAAGTAAAATACATACACAAAAGAAATCAAAGTATGTTAATCTTTAGCCGAGAGATAATTTACAATTCAATAGAGAATAATTTCATAGTTGTAGTAAGAAATTTCTGGAAAAATCAAAATCTATCAATTTTCTGTAAGAACAAATTATCAAAACAGATGCACTGTGTTTTTTGCTTTTTTTAACATACATTACAATACTTACCATTCCTCTTGCCATACTTAATCATCCTCTCCACAAATCTTGCAGCCTCTGGTTTCAATCCATCTGATTGCTTTTCTTGGAAGTCAACAACAGAATCAAAGACATCTTTTCTCATACTGTAACAAACGAAAATATTTTCTAATAAAGAACAAAGGGAACCTATGTATGAAATATGAGAAAGATCCATTCAGTCTTTCTCAAAAAATTGCAATTACAAACTTTCATTACAAAAAAATTCAAGATGGCCACCTGACAGTCATGTTTTTCTGATCTGTCCCAAAATCAAAAGGGCACAACCATGGACTAAAAGGAACCTTTTCATGGAATTTGAGGAAGATCTATCTAGTACTTCACAAGAAATAACTTTAGAAATAACAAGAATTGTTTGACGTATAATGGATGGATGGACCGTGGACCATCGAGGCAGGGTGATCTGAATAGCCAGCCAACTAAAGATTTGTATTATGCTTATCATAAGGTTGTATGTATGTCTGTAGATAAGAATGAAATTTCCTTGATGACTTGTTGAAGCATGTATACCTGCCCACTGATATACAAGTGAACAATGAACTATCATCAAATCTTAAGAGGGAGTTACCGAGTTTGGTATCCATGACACTGAAACATATTTTATACATTTATCTTTCAAGTTTTCACCTATCTTCACTTACACCAGTGTGCACATAAAATTAATTTCTGCCAAGCATCCCTTCAGGAATCAAATACATATATGATGGATAATTCTAGGACTCTTCTCAACTGATCAAAAGAAAAAGTATGTTTCTTCAGCTAAGTGACATGGACTGTATTCAACATTATGTACCAGACAAACCCTTTGTGGGCAAAACAACCCCACGTGAAGCATCAAATAGTTACTGTAGTTAGAAGTCTGCATGTCCTGCTTGACTGCATCTGACTACTCCATGCCAACACATTAGTGAGCACAGCTACCGCTGCACCCAAATTGCTTTTAGTCCATTTTTCGTATATTTTTTCCCTCACCTCATCTCAACATCAAAGTCTGATAGCTTTTTGTCAGCAGCTACACTTGCATCACGGAGCTCCTTATTGGAAGATACATGTTGCATGAAGTCCAAATTGTTCCTCAGCACAGCATACTCACAGTCGTTGTCTGCTAAAGCCTGAATATTAACCACAGCAGAAAAAATAAATAATCCTGTCTGACCCTAATTGTAAGTGTACATGTATACAAATAATTCTGTAAATCACAAATCATAAATGCATATATCAAACTACAGGAATGAGACATTTTGTATGAGAAATAATACTTATCATGGAACCAGTCTTTTCATAAGGCATCAACATATAAAACGTCCAGGAACAACTTGTTTATTTTTCCGCTGTTCTTTTCATTGATGAACATGTTAATTATTGTTCTGACTGTTAAGTCCATTACATATAAGTATTATTCACGCCATACTATTAATCAAAGTGAAAACACCTAAATAAACTGAACACATCTAACACTGCATCAAGACTTCAAACCAAAGTGCACAATACCTTTGCAACATTTATTATATATACACGAGTTGACAGGTGAGGTGGGCACCCATGATCAAACGTTTTATATAAGAAATAAGAGTCATTATGGAACTAGTCTTTTTTATGGCCAACGTTTTGTTATCTTTTTCATTAATGTTCTTTTAAATGATGGTACATCTATATTATATACACTATAGTGTTCAGTCTGTTTTCCATTATTAAAAAAATATACCATATTATTCATCAAATTGAAAATAAAAACTACTTAAATTGAACAGAGTCAACATTTACATTGAGACTTCAAACGACATGCAATACCTTTACAACACTGTCATATGTGATGTTGTCTTTATTTAAGGAACCAACAGTGTCGTAGACAGATTTTGATTTCTCAATAAGGCTTATGGCTTCTTTTTCTATACTTTCGGGTGTAAGGTTCCATCTCAATTTGTGACCTGCGTAAGCTGCCATACTGTAGGAAAAGTCTTTCCTTGAGATGAATGAGTGCGCTTTAAAACAATGCGCTAAAACTAAAATACGCCTCTCCGGTAATGTTTGCTTGAGCACGCACCGGTACAGTGACAAGCAAAAGACTGACATGAGGATGCATCAATGTCAAAAGAAGTCTTTAATCCAATCATTATAACTGCGTTCCCAAAATGCATACAATTGACTCGGATGATAGATTCTTATAATATTAAGAATGGAAATAAAAACGAAACATACTCGTTCATCCGTCTTTGTAATAGTTGATTATAAAGCTAAACATCGTAGTGTCCGTTACATATGACCAGAGACATATATAACACATATATACGTCTCTGATATGACCAATGTACAAAATATAATAAAATTTGAAACTCTTATGAGTAGTAAAGCATTATCATACTACTATGCTTTACTAATCCAAAGTGTTTATACTTTTATTGCTATTTTTATAACCATTACGTGTGCCGTTTAAAAATCTAATAATAATAATAATAATAAAAACTAAATACATAACTCGGATGTTGGGGATGTTGCAAATATTACTGATATTTGAAAGAAAAAAATCTAAATATTAATACAAGTATGCAAGGAAATACACATGTATATATTAGTCTACTGTAAACTTAAGTGTTTACTCATTTTAAAATATTGATAATGTATGTAGATAAAAAATACATTTCCTCTTGTAGATTTATGAGGTTTCATTCAAGTAGGTACATACACATCAGTTTTGCTAACTGCATAGAATCAAGAATTCCACAGAGTGAGTTTTTAACTTGAGAAAATATGATTGATTAAATAATAGTATTGATATCAAAGCTAGACTCTAGACTCATTAGATGTAACCTACATGGGTTTGTTGGGTTTAAAGCCCCGTGGACAGCCAGGGTCATTTTCAGGTGGATGGGTCTCCTTGTACTTAAAAGTAGCTGGTGGCTACCACGCTGAACAACATACGGTAGGGCCGTCACATATTATCCTTAGCAACCAGGGTAAAGTGTCTTGCCCATGGCGGGAAAGAAACATCATCTAGATATTGGGAAGGATGTTAGCATTGCTAAACTGGACATATCAAAATAGATTCTCTTAGTGTTTTTTCGGTTTTATTTGGAAAAAAATTACACATATTTTGGTAAATATTTAATATTCATAGTGTAATATTAATTTTGTCTACACAGGAATGTATCTGTTTTACATGTCCCAGGGCCACATAACTGGTCTGTTTGAAACTGAACAGTATCGGTGAAAATCAGGATTAGTTCAACTGAATTCATGTAGATGATGGTGTGCAAAACACTCATTGTGTTTTGTATCTGGCATAATGACCATGTTTTAAGTTTATGAATAAACCTTGTCAAATCTGACTAGACTAAATCCAGCTGGGCACACTATTGGTTATTTTCTTATTTTACTCCTACTGCCCAATGTAGATACATGCACCAATCCAAAATGTAATTAAGATTACACTTGCAGTTTTGATCAACCTGGTTCTTCAGGTATTCAAAGTTAAAGAGACGGGGAAAAATGCTAGAAATATGGAGAGAACCAATCTGAAATGTAAGGCATTAAGAAGAAGAGTAGTTTTCCAATATAATATTGTAACTTTTGTGATATGTCACTTTGATTTATTAGTATAATTTTGTAAAGAAAATGCGGTTCACTTCTCGTTTTCCGACAAAATGGCTCTGGTCAGGCTGGCCTGCAGTGCCACACTAACTACATCACAATTGCAAGCAGATGTAAATGAGCAATAACAGGCAGGCACATGCTGTACAATGGCGGCCTCCAGTGAAGGCATTGTAAAACAGGACCATAGTTATTCCATGTAAACATCTATTTTCTGGTGACACAACCAATATCGAATGCTAATATGACTGTTGAGGCGAGGGTGTATTGCACAATATCTCTGTCTGGTTATATGTAGATTATTCACATGTGTTAAAAACAGCAAAGTTGTGATGGTCATGTCAACAAAGCCATTTTACGGATTGTTCTTGTTCAAAAGTACAAGGAAGGAAGGATTATTGAAAGTTTATACATTAATCGCTCTGGACTGGCATACACTTATACTTGTTTGTGTGTGTATGTATAAACCAGTGTGTGATAATGAAGAACCACACCTTTTAAAGATTTAAGCTGACAGACACAATCAACAGTGAAACCCCAATAAAGCCTTTGGTCAGACTCGAACTGACATCTGCATACAGACAAAGTCTAGTATACTGCACTCCCTTGTGCTACAAAGACTCACATATGGTGATAGTTTCATGCTTGACCATGCGGACAGCTCTTATTATTCAAATTCAATTCATCTCAAACAACACATTCATGGTGAGTATAGTCAGTTGAAACCAGACTGGTTGGTCATTGAAATTAACATGTATATATGAAGAACTTTTTTTTTGAAGCATTATTTAATTATTTTCAATAGAAAGGAGATGGATTATTTACCATAAATGGTCAGGTAAGTGATATACCCAGTATACATTTTTAATTGATTACAGTGTATGTCGGTGTGATCTCAAATTTAACCATATACAACTTGTACCATTTCATCATATGGACAACTGGTCGTGAAGTAAACAGGTATATGCATGTAACAGTCCAGGACGATTAACGTATATACTTCAAATAATCCTGTTTTGAGTTTTTAATTCAAGTTTAGTCTGCATGCAAATGTCTATATTGTATTGGATCAGAGATCTAACTTGATGGAAAGATTCTTGCCACACAACTTCATGTCTGTTGTAGACATAAATCACGAAGGAACACTATGACATATCCATCATACCAATGACTTTTCTATCATTCACATTTACCAAGTTTTGTTTTGTTTAATTTTGTTTCTTCAGTGTAACCCAATCCTCATAGCATGTCCTACCTTACTTTCTAGTAATGTCGTACCAAACCAGCCTTCGCTTCATTTTGATGTTGAGTCTTGACTTCTAATCACCCTGATGTCTTGTTTAACCTTTGCTCTGATGTCTTGTCTAGCTTGCAACCATCCTAATGTCTTGTTTAACCTTTGTTCTGATGTCTTGTCTAGCTTGCAACCATCCTAATGTCTTGTTTAACCTTTGTTGTGATGTCATGTCTAGCTTGCAACCATCCTAATGTCTTGTTTAACCTTTGTTCTGATGTCTTGTCTAACTTCTGACCCTTCTGACACCCTGTTAAACTTTTGTTCTGATGCTATGTCTAACCTCCTACCTGATTTCATGTTTAATTTCTGTTATGATGTCATTTTAACATTCGTTGTGCGATCATGTAACTTCACTGGTGTCACGCTAACATCCGTTTTCATTTCGTGCCTAATCTCCACTCTGATGTCAAACAAAACTTCTATTGTGATGTCATGTATAACTTCTGTCATGATGTCACGTCAAACTTCTGTTGTAATGTCATGTATATCTTCCATTGTAATGTCATGAGTAAATTATGTTGTGATGTCATGTATAACTTCTGTCATGATGTCATGTCAAACTTCTGTTGTGATGTTGTGTATAACTTGGGTGGTCAGGTGGCCCAGTGGTAACGAACTTGCCTTTCACCTAGCCGACCGGGGTTCGATTCCCGGAACGGATGTAAAAAGGTAAGGGGTCACCTGTCCGATCACGTGGGTTTTCCCCGGGTACTCCAGTTTCTTCCCACAATAAGACCCCTCGCGTGCTTACATCCGGGCCAACAGGAGTGATCAGTATAAGTTGACATAACTTGTTTCGCAATTATTGTAAAATAAATAAAGCTTATATATATGTATATCTTACATTGTAATGCCATGTGTAACATATGTGATGTTTTTTGTAACTTCTGTTGTGATGTCCTGTTTGACCTTTGTGCTGATGTCATGTATAATCTCTTTCTTGATGACATTGTTACCCTCTTTGTGTTGAGTCAAACCTTTTTTTCATGTCATTTTCTATATCTTCTCATGTCATTCAAAAAGTTTTCTAGTGCCAACCATCTTCTCATGTGATTGATACCAGGTGACATGCTATCTACTTATGAAGTTATATGTTGATGCCTCTTATAGGCTTTGTGTTATGTGCTGAACAAAATTATCATAGACGAACAAACAGATGGATGGAGAGAGAGATATCGATACTCCCTTGGATGAGTATAAAAAGAACAGTCCTAAGTTCTGGTAAATGTTCTAATTTAAAAACAAAAAATACAGGGTAACAGTTCATTGCATGCTTGTTTTGAACCAAGAAAATCTTTTTGTCTTTCCAACTATTGCAACAAAATAGATTCTATGTATCATAAAAGAAAGTACATATTTGCTTTGATCTTTTCAATAACACCATTTTATTTTCTACAAACCACATGTAAAGGGAGACAATCGTTAGAGTGGAGTGTCAATCGAAATTTTAAACGTAAAGGGACCTAATCCTAAATTGATAACAAGAAAATGTGAATCAAATTTGATTTGACAAAACAAAAAAACTTCACAATTACAAATGTTTATGATATACGTTAATGGTTATAATCAAGTTTCTTTCACATTTACAACACTGTCAGTACTTCAACAGCCACAGAAAAAACCAAAAAAAAAGAAACTGAGTTTTAGTATTATTTTCAAAGTCGAAATTAACAAATGCCCCGCCACACCAAGAAAAAAATACAAACAATCAATTTGTAAAAAACTGTTTAATCTGATTACAGAAAGGTGTACGTTTAAGAGCACTTCTTGTATATTTCTGTTCATATTACAGTTTTCACTGTATCATGCATATTTCTGTTAATATAACAGGTTCCAGCGTATCATGTATATTTCTGTTAATATAACAGGTTCCAGTGTGTCATACATATTTCTGTTAATATAACAGTTTCTAGTGTGTCATACATATTTCTGTTAATATAACAGATTCCATGGTCATCTATCTGTCTGTTAATATAACAGTTTCCAGTGTATCATGCATCTTCCTTTTAATATAACAGTTTCTAGTCTTTCATCTTTTTTTTCTGTTAATATAACAGTTTACAGTGTATCATGAATCTATCAGTAAATATAACAGTTTACAGTGTATCATGAATCTATCAGTAAATATAACAGTTTACAGTGTATCATGAATCTATCAGTAAATATACAGTGTATCATGAATCTATCAGTAAATATAACTGTTTACAGTGTATCATTGATCATTTTGTTAATATAACTGTTTACAGTGTATCATGAATCTATCAGTAAATATAACAGTTTACAGTGTATCATGAATCTTTCTGTTAATATAACAGTTTCCAGTGTATCATGAATCTTTCAGTAAATATAACAGTTTACAGTGTATCATGAATCTATCAGTAAATATAACTGTTTACAGTGTATCATTGATCTTTTTGTTAATATAACAGTTTACAGTGTATCATTGAACATTTTGTTAATATAACAGTTTACAGTGTATCATGAATCTATCTGTTAATATAACAGTTTCAGTGTATCATGTATCTATCAGTAAATATAACAGTTTACAGTGTATCATGTATCTATCAGTAAATATAACTGTTTACAGTGTATCATGAATCTATCAGTAAATATAACAGTTTCTAGTGTATCATGAATCTATCAGTAAATATAACAGTTTACAGTGTATCAGTGTATCTTTCTGTTAATATAACAGTTTCTAGTGCTTAAAGTTTCATTCTGTTATTCCTTTTGCTTTATATATGTGAGTTTCTGGTATATTACATGTATATACCTGATTTCAGTATATCATGATTATTGACTTAGATATATAATTACTGTATCTTTTGATAGGGATTGCTTTCATGATTCTTTCATACCATTAGAGAAAAAAGTTAAGATTCTAACATTTAGAAATTTACATAATGCACCCGTATGGATTTCACTAGTTATAGAACAATAAGACAAAATTATGCATTTAGCATTTTATAATTTCAGAAAACTTTCAAAATGTTTTATCCACAAATACTTGGGAAACAAAACTGATTTGGTCACATCACACCTGGTACTTGAATATAAATAAATAACACTGGGAATAGATAAATGATCTCATTCACTTGTAAAATCGGTTTCTGCATCGTTATTATAAATACATATCTGTAAATATTCTAAAATAAGGATTTTCTGATTTCTATTTATGTCAGCGAGGACAGCTTAGAGATTTGAAGTGGACTGAAGACCCTTACTGATAAGAAAGGCCTCCTGTGTGGGGTCACGTCCAAGGAAGTTCCGCAGCATGTCAGCAGCATCCTGGATAACAGAAAATATAGGGACTATAAACCTTGAACTTGTCTTCATCTTCTTATTACAAAAGTACAATACAATATTCTGTACATTAATAGAGTTGTCCATTTAAAAAAATTATTAGTGTCGAAAAACTATTTGTTAGTCTCTTAATATGTGATTAAGCAGTAGAGTTCTCAGTTTGAAGTCAAATCGCAAAAAACCTTTCACTTTTATACTGCAAGAAAAAGACAAAACAAAAAAAAAAAAAAAAAAAAAAAAACAAATGCAAAGACAAAAAAGGAGAATGATAAGCTAACCAACTAATCTATATATATTTGTAAAACATCTGATGTAGTTTACTGAAATTGATTAATCCAAACTATAGGAAAAGTATTTAAAACACATGTATCTATTTCCCGGATATTGGGACAACATCCTGCCCAAAGGGGACGACACCCAAAGTTTATACAAAATTCACTCTCCATAGCCCAAGAATGCTTCAGACCAAATATGGGCAAAATCTAACCATCCCTCTAGAAGGAGTAGGATTTTAAAGAATTTGCTCTACTTCCCCAACACCTTTCTGTCTCAAAGGGCAGAGACCAATCCATTATACAAAATTGATTCACCAAAGAATGTTTCACATTAAATTTGGGAAAATCCCAATCACTCCTACAGGAGAAGAAGGATTTTGAAGAATTTGCTCTCTTTCCCCAATTAGACTCTACTCCTGAAATCCCAGGGAGCTGAGGCCCACTGTTTATGGAAAACTGATCCCTCTTCATTCAAGAATGCTTTAGACCAAATTTTGGCAATATCCAATCATTACTGAAGGAACGTGGTATTTCATAGAATTTGCTCTATTTTCCCAATTTGGCTCTGGCCCTAGGGTCCAACAACCTCTGATAATACAAAACTGATTTCCCTTCACCCAAACTGATAGATTTTCCTCATTTCGCCCCATCCCTCAAACCCAGGAAGGCCGAGATCCATCATTTATATAAATGTATTTCCTCTTCCCCTAAGGATCCACTCTTTATACAAATCTTGTTATCTTCATCCAAGCATTCTTTAAACCAAAATTGGACAATATCCTGTAATTCCTTAAGAATAAGATTGCTTTTAAAGAAATTGATAGATTTTCCCTATTCTGCCCCCACCCAGGCCCAAGGGGGCCAAGATCCACCATTTAAAGAAATCATTTCCCTTTCCTCCAAAGATGCTTCAGATCTGATTTAATTAAAATCCACTCAGTCATTCATGACGGGTAGCGAAATATAGGAAAAATTGGCTGATAATGGACAGATGGATGATATACGCTGGATGCCATGGTATTCCTATCCCTACTGCTCACTTGTCCCTTTAGGTCAGGTGACCTAATATAATGTACAATGCACAGCTAGGGGACTTTGAGGAGCTTGCATACAAAATATGATAATAATCTACCTGGTAGTTTTCAAGCAACAGTAATAACGATATAGTGATAACAAAATGTAACAGTCAAATCAAAGATGGCAGCATATCTGTAAATTTTTTTTTCAATCAGTAATAAAATGGACAGTGCACACTTGGGGTTTTAGGGGAGTCTGCATATGAAATATAAGAATGATCTAACATGTAGTTTTCAAGAAAGAATGAGTACAAACTCTAATTTAGTATCTTGTCTGCCATACAAAGAAAGCAATGCATTATATTTCTGACCAGTCCAAAAATTTAACATACAAAACTATGGACAACGGAAGTTGACATATGAAACTGGAGAAAGATCCATCCAGTACTTCTCAAGAAATACTTATAATTTGAATTATTTATGGACTGACAAATGGAGAGACCACAGATGAAGGGCAATTTGAACGGCTCACCATCTGATGATGAATGGCTTAAAAATGACATGAAACATATGGTCCTTGTCAAGAGTTTAGTGATACGTCTATAATGCACATCCTTAAATAAAAAGGTTCAAACAAAATTAGCTTTTCTCTCAAGAAAAAAAACATCCTGAAGAAGTTAGTGATAAGTAAATGAAGAATAAACATTAGAGTAGGTATAATTCTATAATGACTTACAATGGAGCCACCAGGGCGTAGAATATATTTCTTGTAGTCACCTCCAACCTTGGGGCTCATGATACCCTCCTTCCTGAACCGTGAGTAGAACATATCCATGCAGAAAACCTCGCTCCACTGAAACAGATGTATCACACAACATATGTTTACCAGATTTATTGTGATCAGGAAATTGATTTATTTACAATAAAATCTGGGAATATCATGGTAGATTTTTAGATCCATGAGAAAGGCTGACAGAAATCTATATGCAGTATCTTATATTATCTTATATTTCATGATAAATATCATCGTCAGTGATGATACATACTTTACAAGTGACCAATCAGATTGGTTTTTCTATTCACTGCCTGGAAATCTGTCAATATTCCTATTCAGATACAAATGAAGCAAAGGTTGAATAATTGGTTATTTTGTTATTTTGTGAATCAGGAGGTTTACAAATAACAGAATTGGCAGGAATTTAATAAGAAGGTCTAAGTGGATGAATATCATGGACTTCCCTGTTCTCAAGTTCCATATTTACCATAAAATATTCTATTCAGAAATCTAGACATAAAATGCAGAAGAACCACAATTGCCATTTTGTCAAACCTTCATGTACATGGATGTTTCATACCAAGTATCCATAGTACTGAGCATCGTATCCCCATGCCAGATGACCAAATGAGGCAGCAATATTAGTTCCAGCTATTGACTCAATACCTAGAATTTCCTTGGAAAGACTGGCAAAAAATGTAGCTGTATCAGCCTGTAAATATATGTTTAAAAAAGTGGTAAACCTTGTCAGCATTCTACATTTAAACAGAAAATAGAAGACATGAACTACTGGTGTGTTTCAATAGGAGAAAAAAAATTGAAAAAGAGATGTCACAATTATGCTTTATCTTTATTTTTATTTTTATTTTATTTTTACATTATCAAGCTTATATCAATGTTTTTTACCGACCTCTGCCTGTGTATGAATAGTCTGGTCAAAGGTGCCGAACAAGATTCGGCGAAGGTTGAAAACACCTGTGTTAGCAATGCGACTTTGGAGGAGTTTGCCGAGCAGTTCCTCTGGAAGAGCACTGTTATCTTTGTAGTGAGAGGACATCCGGGACAATGGCTCCTTCTCCCAACACCAGTTCTCCAACATCTGAGATGGAGCTTCAACAAAGTCACGTTCCACGTGGGTACCACTGTAAAATACCAACGACCATGGTGTCATAAAAACAACACTACAAATGCGATTCTGAAGTTTTTTCGCAAAACAAACAATTCTAATTTCATGGAAATGCAGCTGAACACATATGAAGATAAAATTTATAGGACATAAACAATAAAACATATGCTACTATGATGCACAATGAATTATAGAAAGGAAAAAGGTGGATAGACAAGGGAACACTATAGCTAAGTCCAATGTTCCTGGGGCTTTAATATAACCTTTGACTGGCTTTCTCCACATAAAAAATCCAAATCTCTCCTTAGCATTTGATCCAGCATTGTGTCAATGTATCCTTTTTAATTCTATATCTTACCTGAACATTGCAAAGTCTGCCTTGGCACAGATCTGATGCATGACGTGACCAAACTCATGAAAGTAAGTCTGTACCTGTAAGGAATACAAATGATACAGCAGTCATGATCAAACGCCCACAAACACAGGAAATAGACACATTTTCACAGAATAGTGAAATTTTTACAGCTACATGTGCATTTTTTTCTTAATCATAAGTTAGTTGGTTGAATGTATTAATTGCAGACAATCTGTCAGTACTTACTATATCAATTAATTTCTACTAATTACATAAATGCCTCTGTTTCACATTCATCAAGCTTTCTCTCAGGTAGTATGTAAGACATTTAAAGAGAAAATTATTGTTGGACTTCAACAGGTTTGTATTATGAATACACAAAGTTAGTACATGTATACTATATAGGGCCTGTACAGCATGTATTGCTCATCTGGTTTTGTTCACCTAAATTAATGGAAAAGAAATTTTAGAGTTAACATCTATGTTCTTATTTGTCTCCACCCAGCTTCCCCAAGCAGGTCAGCCAAACCATCTAAATATAAGTCTCCTTCACCCAGGTATGTTGTAGACTAAATTTGGACTTAGTCATGCCATTGCTAAAGTAGAAGGATTTTAGAGCAGTTCCTCCATTTCCAATATTGGATCCTGCCTCTTCTGCTGCCTGAGTGTTGGCCATAGTTTAAATAGCATTGATTCCCCTTCAATCTAAGATACTTCAGATTGGGACAGAATCCTGACATTCCTACAGAAAAAGAGGGATTTCAAAAACATTTGGTAAATTTTCCCTGAAAGGTCACAGAGGGGTCAGACTCACTAGAAATAATTAAGTCCAACATCTCCCAATGATGCTTCTGACCAAAGGTGGTCAAAATCTACTCAGTCCTTGTGTTCTGAATAACACACTAATTCAACAGATAATTCTTAGTATACCTCGTCATGAGTTAGTAGAGAGGGTTTGTCTGCTGTGGGTTTGGTGAAGTTGGCCACCATTGCAGCTACGGACACCTGTCTCTCCCCATCTGACTGTACACATCCAGGCTATAGAAACAAGATTGTAGTCACTCCAAATAAAAATTATGTAAAAATGTTATCTAAAAGACATAACAGAAATCACAATTACAAAGCTACCTTAGTTTAGTTAAGTAATCAAACACAGAGGTCAAAATATACTTGGTTGAGATAGAATAAAGCAAGTACAAAAGTAGTACTGTACAATGTTACGCTGTTTGCAATGTACAACAGGAAAACTGGGCGAAATTTGCAACCATTCATCTGTGCACACAATGTTCAGTTTCATTGCACAGATGTGCACAGATGCGTAATTCTATCATAGCTTATATAAATTTAGAAATGACTTAACAATACATAAGGGATAGGGTTTATTTATTTTCTAGATGAGTACAGTAAAGTATATTTCCTAAATAAGCCACTTATTTAGAGGTCAGGCACATGTAAATCTATCAGGTACAGACTTAATAGTTAAATAAATTTGTAAAAATAGTTTGTTTACAAAGCATCACACATGACCAGTCTTAGTCACAGAAACGTAAACCATGAACAATCAGCATTTAAGGAAAACAAAACAATGATCTCGGAGTGATTTGCTGCTATTCTTCTCAATTTTTTGTTTCAAATCTTGTCCATTTATAACATTAGTGATAAAATCAAGTAATAACATGTTCAGCTAGAAAGACTTCAAACACTTTAACCTAAATGGTCATTTGAAATCACCTGGAATATCCAAAGCAGAAAAATGTAGCTTGCAAATTTTGGAACCTTACTAACTTGTCTCAAAAGCTGCTGGCTGCCTTTTAGAACACTGGATCACACTCAAGATGTACCAGGTAGGTTTTGAGAAAAAGTGATCACAATCATAAAAAATAGGCAAAATAATATCAACATGTTGACACAATCATAATCCAAACTCAAATTCTATAAACAAGGTCTACAAGAATGGGACCAACAGCAAACTGACAAGCATCAAACATTTCCAGCTTAATACTGCACAACGAAAAAATATTTTTCTCATTGAAATCACTATGACAACCGTAAAACTTCCCCATCATTTCATCAATCTGCATTTTTTGAAACCCCGTGTTACGTGTTTGTCAGCTGAAGACCTAAAAGACAAGATTCAAAATTGTACCAGTAGCCATCTTGAAGTTCAGATTATGCTCAAAACATTTGCATGCATAATAACGCATACTATACATGTTAAATAGAGTGGTAGCAATCACAAAATTCTTATGTCAAAATACAAATGGCTCATAGTACATTGAAAGTCTGATAATGGCAACCAAAAGTGGTATCATGCTTCAGCAAACAAAGCTGTGCCGAAGTGTTCTCTGTTTTGGTCAGTAACAGATAATTTTGTCATAGCTTGGCTGGAGCAATATAGTGATTTATCTTAGTATATTTATCCACTAAGTAAACTTAAATACCTGAAGTTCAAAACACGCTGCATGGCCATATTTCCCCTCTCTTGGGTAAAGATCAAGGTAAAAGTATCCCAACAGTTCTCTGGATTCATTACAGGTAACACTGTACTGTAATAACAAACAATGTATTCATTACAGGTAACGCTGTACTGTAATAACAAACAATGTATTCATTACAGGTAACGCTGTACTGTAATAACAAACAATGTATTCATTACAGGTAACGCTGTACTGTAATAACAAACAATGTATTCATTACAGGTAACGCTGTAC